AAGGACACTAACAGCTATTCAATCTATAACAGTGAAAAAAGTTTTTGTTTTTAAATGCAAGCTATTGTGACACTAGTGAGTGAGTGGTGGCACTGGGCACAGTATCCACTGTAGGCCTGACACAGAAGCTGGCAGACAACTAACTGCTATTCAATCTATTATAGTGAAAACATTTTAATTTTTTTTAAATGCAAGCTATTGTGACACCAGTGAGTGAGTGGTGGCACTGACTGGGCAAATGGGCACAGTATCCCCTGTGAGCCTGACACAGAAGCTGGCAGTAGTGGCAGACAACTAACTGCTATTCAATCTATTACAGTGAAAAAAGTTTTTTGTTTTTAAATGCAAGCTATTGTGACACCAGATGTGGTGAATTGCTTTGACTGAAATAGGGCACAGTATGCACTGTGAGCCTGACACAGAAGCTGGCAGCAGTGGCAGACAACTGACTGCTATTCAATCTATAACAGTGAAAAAAGTTTTTTGTTTTTAAATCCAAGCTATTGTGACACCAGATGTAATTGGTGGCACTGACTGGGGAAATGGGCACAGTATGCACTGTGAGCCTGACACAGAAGCTGGCAGCAGTGGCAGACAACTGACTGCTATTCAATCTATAACAGTGAAAAAAGTTTTTTGTTTTTAAATCCAAGCTATTGTGACACCAGATGCAATTGGTGGCACTGACTGGGGAAATGGGCACTGTGAGCCTGACACAGAAGCTGGCAGCAGTGGCAGACAACTAAGTGCATTTACATTAGATAGAAAAAAAAAAAAAGCATACCCTTATCCCTAACCTAGCTATGCTTTTCCCTATCTTATGAACAGCAGCTACACTTTCCCTCCTCTTACTAAGCATGCAGCTTGAGAATGAATCTAAAATGGATGCTGTCCAGTAGGTGGGAGGGTCTGCTAGGGAGGCTGTGCTGCTAATTGGCTGGAATGTGTCTGCTGACTGTGAGGTACAGGGTCAAAGTTTACTCAATGATGACGAATAGGGGGCGGGTCGAACCGCGCATATGTTCGCCCGCCGTGGCGAACGCGAACATGCTATGTTCGCCAGGAACCGTTCGCCGGCGAACCGTTCGGTACATCACTAATTGTGAGGTGACACTGTATCCAATCAGTACATTGTGAGGTGACACTGTATTCAGTCGGTACATTGTGAGGTGACACTGTATCCATTCGGTACATTGTGAGGTGACACTGTGTCCAATCAGTACATTGTGAGGTGACACTGTATCCAATCAGTACATTGTGAGGTGACACTGTGTCCAATCAGTACATTGTGAGGTGACACTGTATGCAATCAGTACATTGTAAGGTGACACTGTATCCAATCGGTAGATCGTGAGGTGCGTTCCAATGAATCAGTGAAGAAATGTAAGAGGGACTAGAGTTGTTTAAAATTTTATAGGTAAGGGTTAGTATTTTGAATTGACTCCTATAGGATACAGGAAGCCAGGAAGCCAGTGTAAAGCTTGACAGAGGAGTGAGGTATGGGAGTAGCAACAGGTGAGAAAGATCAGCCTGGCAGGAGTTACCAGAGACTCTG